TCCTCAATGGCGCAGAGAAGGATTGAATGGAGATAAAAGTGAGGGAAGGAGAAACGGAGAGAGTGAGAGGAGATCCAGCATCTCCAGGCTTCAATGCAGGACATGACTTTTTAGATGACGCTGGAAGCAACAACTTCTAAGGCCTCTCAATACCGGATCCCAGAGCAAAGACATGAAAATGTACTGTAAATATGATGAGCAGTTAGCCTGATTAAAATCACATCCACAATTATTACAGTTGGATGACATAACTTACATGTACTGCTAATCATACTGGATTAAAATCGCTCCACAATTATTACTGTCAGACTGTAAAACTACACACACTGCAGATTCATACTGGATTAAAATCACTCCACAATTATTACTGTCAGACTGTAAAACTACACACACTGCAGATTCATACTGGATGAAAATCACTCCACAATTATTACTGTCAGACTGTAAAACTACACACACTGCAGATTCATACTGGATTAAAATCACTCCACAATTATTACAGTCAGACTGTAAAACTACACACACTGCAGATTCACACTGGATTAAAATCGCTCCACAATTATTACTGTCAGACTGTAAAACTACACACACTGCAGATTCATACTGGATTTGAAGTATATTTTGGATCATTGTCCTGTTGGGGAATACATACCTCAAAATCTCTTTTTAGCTTTAGGTTCTTGACTGCGTCACATTTGCCTCCAAAATGTGCCAATATTTCATGGAAACCACAATACCATCTACCTGTGCAACGTTTCCTCTGCCACTGGCTGCTACAAAACCCCAAAGCACAAAAGATCCACCTAATGAACTGAAACTTTTAGCGTCCAAAGAGTTCCATTTTTACTTCATCAGTCCAGCACCTGTTTCCAAAACGCCTCTAGGCTAATCTAGATTATGTTTTGCATACTTCAGATGTGATGACGAGGTTGCAGGTATTGTCTCCTTCGGATGACAGAGTAGATTGTGCACCATCGCTCCTGTGTCAGCTAAACCTTCTGTCAGGTCCTTTGCTGTTATATGAAATGAAATGAACGTTTTAGCCAACTCTGTCTGAACACATCGACATTAGACCTCTGCATTTAACCCATCTGTGCAGTGAAACACCACATACACGCTAGTGAACACACACACACTAGGGGGCAGTGAGCGCACTTGCCCGGGGCGGTGGGCAGCCCTATCCACGGCGCCCGGGGAGCAGTTGGGGGGTTAGGTGCCTTGCTCAAGGGCACTTCAGTCACGTACCGTCAGCTGAGGGGATCGAACCAGAATCTGCCCCCACTCCACGACTGCCCCCTCCAGCCCACGACTTACTGGGGGTAAAAGCAGCATAAGAGCAGTTTGATCTGACAATTTTCTTGGTCTTCTAGATCTTACCTTGACTTCCACATTTCCCTTTAACTGCCATTTCTTTGGCCCAATCCCCTTTCTTATTTTTACCCCTACCCCTTGTTTTCGCGTGTTACCTTGCCCTTTGGTACTGAGTTACAGGGTAATGGTTGAAATCTTCCCCTACGAAATGGATCAGCCCTCAAATATAAAAGAGCATCACTTCATTAACAGCTACCAGCGCTGCTCTGTAGGCGACCCTGCCAGTCTGCAGTGACAGCAGAGGAGGGTAAAGTTCAGCTCCTCACTGCTGGGCTTTAGTTACATTTAGGGCATCATATGACCTCAAAGTGGGGGGGGGCGTTATTTATTATCGCCCTCCCCTAATTCTTCATCGATATAAAGCTGAAGTAGCCACTTGGAAGCTTCTTGTTTGAATCTTCCCATTCCACCTTAAATGGTGCTGCAGGTCTGATGCCAGCATGTAACTGCTGCACCATTTAAGGTGGAACAGGAAATTTAGCTAGCTAGCTACCAAGACATTGGCATACCAATAGTGCTTTTTTAATGCTTATTATGAAAGAAAGAACCATAATACACTGAAACGACATTAAAGTAAGGTAATACAGTGGTTATCATCATTTTCAACAGAGAAAATACAATCCTGCCTTTCTTTATTTCTCATAACTCTGTTTGGAGTGAGTCTCTGAAAACCTCCGTTTGGAGGGCCATGTAGCCCTAGGGTCGAGGGGTGAAATGGGATTGGGCCTTAATGACATTCTGGACAGTAGACATTTCAATCTGATATCTTTTCTGCTTCGTAGGTATTAATTAGCTTCATTTTCAGATCCTAAGTCATCTGCTTAGAGGAGCCCACGGTATTGAGTGTTAAGACAAGGTTTGAAGAGTCAGATCATTTATTATTATTCAGTTCTTGGGTGTAGTTAAAGGCACAGACCCCTTGCTTCATAAGCACATTCACCGACAGACAAGCCTGCCAAACGTGTTTAACAACCAGAGAAAACAGAGAAGCCTTAATCCAAATCAAACCTGCTTACAAACGGACTCCCAGCTGTGTGTCTGAACTCACCAGTACAATCACTGCTGCTGAGATCTGTGACCTCATGAAGAGATTCCTAAACACAGAGCTGCAGTGTAATGAAAGGAGTATATCTGACAGCAAACTAAACACACATCCTGATAAAGGATAAAAAAACATCCCAAGAGACTGTTCCACAAAACACACGCCCCAATTAAAACCTAAAACAAAGTTCTGGACAGTACTATTGCGCCCACTGTGCTCTGTGCATGTGAGGTATGGGGTCCAGTCAATAAGCAAAATTAAACTAGAAGGGACAAGCATCCCACAGAGTCCCTGCAGCCAGAATTCTGTAAAAAACACACTAAATGTTCAGAGGAAAACACCAACAAATGCATGTGGGGTAGAAACAGACCGATTTCTATTCGTTATATCTTTTCAGAAACAAGATTTTCTTAAATTTTGGATGTCAAAAGCAATCAGTACACTTGTTTGGGTTACACTGCAATATAAAGCAGTCTAAGGCTCTATAAGAAAGCACTGTGTAATACACAAGCTTTTCTGATGTAAATTCCCTCAACAATTCCTATGCACACTTATGCAATTAGTTTCTCTCATATGCTGCTCTATTCAGTATGTCTACAGTACTGTGCAAAAGTCAGAAACCACCCTTCATTTATTTCTACTCCAATCAAAACAACCATTGAGTACAATTTTTCATGTTTCAATATATTAAAATGATCATTGTGATACGTCTTTCCACTGTATGCAGACAACTCAATGCTATGGGTCTGAAAGGATGTGTAGCTGTCAGGAAGCCTTGCTGAGAAAATAAAATATATAAATAAAAACAAATAAGCAGCTGGTGTTCTCAGAACAATGGACTGACCAATCCAGAGCCCAGACCTCAACATCACTGAAGGTGTTTGGATTGCTTGGATCATGAGAATCAGAAAATACAACCAACTTCTAAGACTGAACCTTGGAGGCGTGTCTGCAGATTTCTTTGCTAAACTGAAAGTGAGTCTCCTGAAAAGAGTGGAAGCTTTAACCTCTCGTAAAACGCTCGTGGGTATAGTTTTTCCATCTGAATTTACATGCCCAAATCGCAAGGCAAATTATTCAGTAACTGCATGAAATAAATGGAATTTTTTTATTTTTTGTACAAGTTCCCTTCATATTAACAGAGAATGTGTTTTATGATCACACATATTGCTATGCTTACAATTTACTGCTAAAAGCCAAAAATCTAACACGCTCTTTGTATTATTTTATAAAAATAATTTTTACAGAGCAGATCACTGAGGAGACGCCATCTGAGATCCAGTTTATAGCTCAGATTTGTGGAAAAATGGGTCAACTTTCAGTAGAAAAGCTTCTTTTATTATAAAGTTTAAAAATTACATTACCATCTATTTGACTGGAAAGAAGACACCTTCCAACTACAGTTTCAGCTCTCATAAGACACCCACCTTCTGAAATATGAAAGGTATGAACTAAAGAATATGACGAAGTGCATTTTGGAACCACCTGTGGTTCCAAGGAGTTGAAAAGGTTAATAAAGGCAAAGTACAGTGACTTAATACTGAAAAGTTTGATATCATATTAAGTTGTTGAGACTTCGGTCGTGGGCTGCAGGTTAGGGAACCAGCCTTGTGAGCGGAAGGTCGCCAGTTCAACCCCCTGAGCCGACAGTACGTGACTGAAGTGCCCTTAAGCAAGGCACCTAACCCCCCAACTGCTCCCCAGGCACCGTGGATAGGGCTGCCCACTGCTCTGGGCAAGTGTGCTCACTGCCCCCTAGTGTGTGCATTCACTAGTGTGTACGTGGGTTTTTCACTGCGCGGATGGGTTAAAATGCAGAGGTGAAACTTCCTGCTTTGGGTCTAATAAGGGTAACTAACTAATTTAACTTATTTTCTGTTTTTGTCCCTGTAGCCATTTTAACTGTTAGCACAACCAGCTAGTTCGTGTATCCAGTCTGGCTTCATGACTAATTAAACCACTAACCTCTAAAACATACTGGTCTCAGGGCAGCACTGCTAAAGCAAAGCCAAATTTGGAGTAAACCATACAGCACACATCACTTCTTTACTAAAAAGAAGGATACATAAACAAACAAACAAACAAACGGCTTTCAAGTTTGTGACATTTTAAATCTTTAGCATTAAAATTGAGTAAAAACGATAAACACAATTTGTGATTAACTAAACAACACAATTAATCAGGGTTACTTAATAGTTCCCTCTAAATATAAGCAATCTATTCCCAAAGTTTCACCTGATAACTAGAAAACGGTTCATTTTGGAACAGTCGACTGTCAAACTGTTGATAATTCTTTTTTTCTTTTATCCAAATGTACTGCTGGTGTCTGTATATGTGAAAAATGTTTTTACTACAAACTGTTTCCATTTTACAAACGCTACACTACAAACTGTATTGTTACTGTTATTATTATTAACCACCAGCATTATCCTACCTGTTATTATCACCTTACTATCAATTGCTTTGGCAACATTGTTTGGAAGCAGTCAGGCCAATAAAGCGAGCATTGAATTTAATTGATTTGAATAAGAGAGAGAGAGAGAGACAGAGAGAGAGATATTGGGAGAGAGAGGGAGGAAACACTCACGGATCAGAGCGCAGCCACTGAAGAATAATTCCCGTCGTACAATACAACACCGAGCCCTGTTTCCGTGGTAACCGGCTGGATAGCAGAGCCCACAGGAGGAGGAAGAGATGCCCGAGGTCGAGACGTGGAACAGAAAGCAAGATTTTATTACAATCTTCACCAAAATAAATGAAATCACAACATTATAACAAAAACCAGTTCATTTTTAAAATGTATTATGTGACTAAGACTCTCTCTGCACTGAGTCAGATCACTGAAGAGGAATATGTCTGTGCTGGAAAGAGCTACAAGTTAGGCAAGTTGACTCAAAGCTGAATTTCCCACAATCCTCAGAATTCATTTTCATTCAAGCTCACAGCAAAACACCAGAAGTTGAGGCCACACAATAGCCCTTGTTCATCATTGTCAAAATACTGGTCTTTGCAATAGTGACATCGCAGAAGGCTACAATATGCAAATGAGCCCTCTAACCAATCACAAGTCAGACAATGTTCACACTGTGTGATGTCAGCTGTGTCGCTCTTCCTGTGGGGAAGCAGAGTGATTGAGCAGTGAAGTGGTTCTTCAATAAACAGCTATAAAGCATCAAAAAGGGTTCTTCTATCGTTATGATGTCAAGCTTGTAACAAAAAAAGATACGCATACATTATATAGAACCAAATACAACACATTTTCCATCAATCTGAAGAACTATTTCATAATGCAAAGAACCATTTAAGCATGCAAAAGGATCTTTGAGTGTTCATTGTTCTATATAGGACCACTGTATCTACTAAAGAACCCTTGAAGAACCATCTTTTCTAATAGTGCAGATTTTAAAGAAGATATTACATCAGTATTATGCCATCCCTATAAACTGTTCGGGTCATTTACATTAATGACATCACATTATTCACTGATTTCATTATTATCTTTTAGGAACGCACTAAAATTTTGGCCACAACAACCAAAAATGGCACCTCCAGTTTCCAGTCAAAAGAGAAAAATGTCCAAAAATTTTGGCTGGGAGAAAAAAAAAGAGAAATATTGATTAAAAACACCTTGTTTCCTTTCCTGCACTGGCAGACAAGCTCAAACAGTTTGAGCAGCAGCGGATTAACAGTGAAAACTGTGTGGAACTATTTCACGGTTTTTAAGAAGGACATTAAACCAATGTTATAATCGAATTATAATCGTTGTTCATGTCAAGGATCGAGAGGGGGAACACTGAAGAACGTAGGCACATGCTGTGGCCTACAAACTGCAACAACTTTGCATGTTCATTTTCATTTTTACCCGATTTTCTCCCCAATTTAGTCGTCTCCAATTCCACCCGCTAGTTAGGACTCCCCCAATCACACGATACTATCAACGCTAGGAGGGTGAAGGCTAACACAGGCTTCCTCCGAGACCTGTGAAACCAGCCACCGCTTCTTTTCGAACTGCCGCTCACGCAACGTCACTGGACAGCCGAACGCGCTCGGAGGAAAGCGCCAACCGCCAGATCTGTTACGTCAGTTAACAGACGCCTGCGCTGACTAGCATCGCGCTGAGTGATGGGGGGAGAAGGAGGGGCCATCCTACCCACCCAGAGAGAGCGAGGCCAATTGTGCTCTCTCGGACTCCCGGCTACGGACGGCTGTAGCATCACCAGGGATCGAACTCGCGATCTCCTGATGACAGGGCCAACGCTTAGACGGTTGCGCCACTCGGGAGCCTTTGCATGTTCATTTTAAGTAAACTGTTTTTATTTACTGTTTTATTTGGTTTTCAGTCCATCATGACTGGAATTTTAGTTTAGGGCAAGACTTTTCATTTTGGAGCATCAGTAGTAATTTATCTGTTATGTGCCAGCCTACCACCAGATATAAAAAAAAAATAACTAAACAAACTAAACAAAATTATATATATATATTATATATATATATATATATTTTTTATATATATAAACAGTATAAATATATAAAGTATATAAGATATAAATACATGGTGGACCAGCTCGGGACAGCACCACATTAGCTAACGTGGTGGTTACAGTTATGGAACGGCAACAAAATCTGATTTGTATGATTACATTCATGTCCAACAGGGAAAAAAAATATTCATAAAGCAAGAGAGAGAGAGAGAGAGAGAGAGAGAGAGAGAGAGAGAGAGAGAGAGAAACAGAAGAAAGAAAGGAAGAAAGAAAGAACGAAAGAAACAAACAGATAGAGAAGGAAAAACAGAAAGAAGAGATAAAGAAAGAAGATGAGAAGAAAGAAGAGAATGAAAGAAAAAAGAAAGAAAGAAAGAAAGAAATGACAAAGATAAAGAAAGAAAAGATATAGAAAGAGAAAGAAAGATAGAAACAAACTAAACAGAAATGAGAGACAAAGAGAGAGAAATTTAAGGAGAGAGCAAAAGAGAAAGAAAGAGTGAAAGAGTGAAAGAATGAAAGAACGAAAGAAAATAGAAATGACAGAGAGAGAGATAAAGAAAAAAGAAAGAAACAAAGAAAGAAAGAAACAAACAAGCAAGCAAACAAAAAACAGAAGTGAGACAGAGAGAGCGAGAAGCAAAGACAGAAAGATTAGATAAAGAAAGAAGATAGAGTGAAAGAAAAAGAAAGCAAGAAAATTGAAATGACAGAGATAAAGAAAAGATAAAGAAGAAATAAAGAGAAAGAAACAAACAAACAAAAGTGAGACAGAGAGAGAGAGAGAGAGAGAGAGAGAGAGAGAGAGAGAGAGAGGGAAAGACAGAAAGGAGATCAAGAAGTGAGACAAAGAATAAAATGAAAGGACAGAGTGAAAGAGTAAGAAAGAAAAAAGAAAAAAAAACAGAAAGCAAACAGAAATGAGAAAGAAAAAGAAAAAAAGAAAGAAAGAACAAAAGAGAACAGAAGAAAGACATTTTGAGAGGGAGAGAGAGAGAGAGAGAGAGAGAGAGAGAGAGAGAGAGAGAGAACAACTGACAGAGTCCTAATCAGCACCCTCTCTCTCACTCTCTCTCTTTTTACACATCCAGCTCCCCAAAAAGAACCAATTTTCTCCCTCAGACAAAACAAGCTCCACTGACCTCAATGGCTGGGATTAATCCAGGTTTAGATACTCAGGCTGGGATTAATCCAGGTTTAGATACTCAGGCTGGGATTAAACCAGGTTTAGATACTCCGACTGGGATTGATCCAGGTTTAGATACTCCGACTGGGATTGATCCAGGTTTAGATACTCAGGCTGGGATTAAACCAATTTTAGATACTCCGACTGGGATTGATCAAGGTTAGAACCCTGACTGGGATTGATCCAGGTTTAGATACTCCGACTGGGATTGATCCAGGTTTAGATTCTCCGACCGGGATTGATCCAGGTTAAAAAACCCTGACTGGGATTGATCCAGGTTTAGATACTCCGACTGGGATTGATCCAGGTTTAGATACTCCGACTGGGATTGATCCAGGTTTAGATACTCCGACTGTGATTGATCCAGGTTTAGATACTCAGACTGGGATTAAACCAGGTTTAGATACTCAGACTGGGTTTAATCCAGGTTTAGATACTCAGACTGGGATTGATACAGGTTTAGTTACTCAGACAGGGATTGATCTAGGTTTAGATACTCAGACAGGGATTGATCTAGGTTTAGATACTCAGACAGGGATTGATCCAGGTTTAGACACTCAGACTGGGATTAATCCAGGTTTAGACACTCAGACTCGGGATTGATCCAGGTTTAGACACTCAAGATGAGATTAAACCAGGTTTAGATACTCTAGATGGGATTAAACCGGGCTTAGATGCTCAGACTGGGATTCCTTGTGCATCTGTACATGAAAGCGTGAGGATTATGATGAACAGCCAATCATGATGTCGCCACAACAGAAGGATAAAGAAATCACACGACCTAAATAAAGAATAGAGAGGAAAGCATTTATACTGATAAAAGCAGCGCTGTTAACACTGCTGCCAGGCTTAGAGCCAACTTAGCCTAAAGTTAGCTGGGTAAACAAGAAACACTGCATTGTGGGATTGTGATACCCCTGGACTGAGAATGTTGAGAAGATTATCTGCATAATTAGCATCCAATCTTTATCAATACATAAAATAGCCAGTTATACAGTTTAAATTTAGACAGCAGCTTGTGGCAGCCAGTGATGTTAGCTGGCCTGTATTTTACTCTACAGCACATTAGCTAACCTGCTTAGGGCCCCTAAGGCTGGAACTGGCCCTCAAACACCGTGCTACCCCACAGGAAGTGCAACACAGCCAACAGCATCACATTACACAGTGTGAATGAGTGCACTGTCGGGATAGATCAGTACAGGATTGGCCATGATAGGATTCTCGGACGTGACAAAGGCCTTTACACACCGAACACGATGTATTCTTTCAGTATTTTCGGACGCCAGTTAATTAATCAGATCATGTTACTGATAATATCCTGCAAACCAAACAGGATTTTTCAAATGATGAAAACACGACGTTATTTTATTCACTCTCTGTTTGATATTTGTAAACTTTCTGCAGCAACATGATTTGTCTTGTTTACCCCCTGCTTTCCCACAGATGGTGTTAGCATCTCAAATGGAGCTCAAACTGAGTTCCAAACATCCGAGCTGGATCCGAAAGCTCTCACAGTTCTATTCCTGAATGATGTGGTGAAACTCTCTGTGCTCCTGCTGCTGCTCCAGCATGGAAAGAAGCCCACTCAGTGTCAGTTTGCCTGGTTTGCGAGGAATAAAGGGGATCTTTGTCACTTGAAGACATTCTGGATGTATTTTTGTTTGTGTTGCAGCACGACACGGCCTTTTATTCGTTTCTGATTATGGTGGGTTGTCATGTTTTTCTCAGTTTGAGATGTGGTGGCTGTAGGTGGTTGTTTCTAAAAGACACTGTATCCATGACGAATGAGTTTCATACAAACCAAAAAAGTGAAAGTTTGACTTGCACTGAAAATGTAAAAACAGCAAGTATTAATACACTAATAAAAAAAGGTTGATCTAAATGTGACGTTCCATTTTTGAAAAACAAGCTTGAACCAAAAAAATTGGTCACCTGTGACAGGAACGCACCTAGTGCAATAAGATAACAGCTGCGATTCGATTTGCCATGGACTGGACAAGTTTCTGGACACAGACGACGTCAATGTTCATCAAAGAATTGCACGGTTCAGCCAGATTTTGTGGATGCCTTCATGCCATCTTACTCTTTGTTCCATGTAGCCCCACAGATTTTCAAGAGGATTTAAATCTGGGGATTCAGTGGTCCAGTCCAGATGTGTGAATGCTCCTGAATGTTCATCACGCCAATCAGTGATATTTGCAGCCTTGTGGATGCGAGAACCGTCATCTTGGAATACAGGGATAGGAATGTTATGTTGCTCATTAAGATGATGAGCAAAAGGCAAAACCTGGTTGTCCAGCAGCTCAGTGTCGGCACAGTGGCTCAGATTTACTGTCACCTCAACCAAAGGACCCATTTCCATATAATTAAAACACCCTTAAAACATCACAGAGCTCCTCCAACTTGACCCACACCTATGATGAACAAGACTTCATTCACCTACAGGCAGAAACGAGATTCATCTGACCAGATAACACGTTTATAGTCATGAACAGTCCACTTTTTGTGTCTCTTTGTCCACTGTAACCGGACAACTCGGCGAGCAGAAGTGAGCAAAGGCCTCTTGCATGCCACTCTGCGCTCCATATGTTCATGGTATGCAGTTCCCTGTGGAGAGTTCTTTCAGAAATTGGTTGTGAAGGACCTGCGTTGACTTCTAGAAGCTATTGTTGACTGGAAGCGAAGCCATTTTTATTCACAAGCCGTGAAACGCGCCCACCGTCCCTGTCTGTCAGTTTCGTCTTTCGGACACAATTCTGACGAGAATTTCCAGTAGACAGAGATTTTTGCCACTGCTGGTCGATCCGTATGACCGTACGCTTCGACACACTGGCAAATTCAGCTACTTCCTTCACACTGTGGCTTTTGGCACCCAAATGCAATTACTCCTTTTAGCCAATCATTAACATCTGTTTGGGATCACACATTGAACATGGCATTCCCTGCACTGTACCACCTTTTCTCAATCTATGAATCCTGTCGTGCAACCTGCAGGTATTTATAGCCTGATCATCCTCGTGCAACTCCATCTGCAGGAGCCTGAAGTTACTACCACCTTAAACACGCAAGATGACTAATTTTTTGTCCGGGGGGCTTAACTTATGTCTACATATTCTAAAAAAATTAAAAATTAATTTAGGTTACACAAACCCAGCTGTGGCCCCCTAGCATTACCACTGTGGCCCACAGGTTGAAAACCACTGCACTAGCAGAGTACAAAAAAAACAGACAATATTTCATATGAGGGTGGGTTTGTTCGTCTGCATTGGCTAGCATTGCGCTGAGTAATGGGAGGAGAGGGGGAGGGCCATCCTACCCACCCAGAGAAAGTGAGGCCAACTGTGTTATTTATTATCCATCTACTTATTATTATAATCAATTATTATCAATTCTAACAATGGACGCACCTGATCACCACCTTCAGATGATTTTAATACCCCTCATTAATGAGATACTAAATTGCAAAATCATCCAGTCAGTCTTGAGATAATACAGTATTTATTTTCAAACAACAAAACAACATCTGATACCGAAAAAGGCATTTGACTCTCTCAATCAAAAGAGTTTCCTCCGCTGTGACAGAGACAGAAACGCCAGCAGTTGAGTTCATATGCAACTGTTAGGGCTCTCTCTCTATCTTTCTCTTTTTCTTCAGCTGAGGAGTTTCTCCCATGTTACCATCCGGAATCCTATTACTGTCCAGCGTCTCCCCGAAGACTCAGCTCAGACTAACCGTCCACACTTCACAGGATAATTGGACACACTGACTCACTCTCTGTGTCAGAACAGGGACTTAAAACCAGCAATGCTCTGATGACCACTGAGCCATGCATATATGCTCACCTCTGCAGACGAATCTGATACCCGCAGGACCGCCCCTCTCCGACAGGCTCCGCCCTCTCCGCTGCAACCCTCTCTGCCACCTGTACAGACACATAACAATTAAAAGGGGAATTCCAGCAATTTTTTTTTCTAATCCAATTGTTTTGTCGACTTATTTTTCGAATAATAATTTACAATCCTACACTAAAGCTAACACAGCTCACATAACGTCGCTGTCCAACAAAAAACGTGTCTCCATTTTTGTTGATTTTCTATTTTCTACATCATTTCAACACACCAGCTGTCTTTCTCATTGTATGAACATTTCATGATGAATGGACCAATAGAAATGCTCTAAAACTGCTTGGAATAAAAGCTCTTTACAGTGTTTTGCCTTTTCCTGTAAAGTTGCTATTTTGGAGATACTTGTTTTTCTTTGGACAGCGACGATAAGGAGCCTGAACCCTACTAAAGATTTAGAAAACATGCCTTACTGATTGGCATTCAAGCCAATCAAACCCATGTGACCTAGGCTGGCCAATCATACTCACGGATATGGCGCTGATGCGTCTTGGCTGGGTGCACACCACCCTGCAGAGGGAGCCCAATCCACGCTGGATGTAGTCGTCTAGGATAAACTGTGTGACCTGCGTGGTTTTGCCGCAGCCAGTTTCACCGCTGACCACCACCACGCGGTTCGCCTCTATCAGATTCACCAGCTCCTGCACTCACAGTACAGACGTATCATGTTTAATGTTGGGGTTTCAGGCTTGTTTTGTACAGTCGCGTATTAAAACCTCAGTATATTGAACTGCACCACTTGTTTAATTGTGCTATGCATAGTCGATGTTTTGGTCACTTGTACTGTGTTAAACACGGGTCAGTTCGAGGTCCTGGAGGAGTTAATGCCAGATCGTCAGCCTAACCCTTTGACACAGTGCTGAATCATCATGCATCCTACTGTTTGCAAGGCAAGCATACAGTGAAGTACTTTACCTCTCTCATGCCGTAGGAGGGCAACTTCTCTCTGAATTTCTGTAAAATAGAGTATGACAGCTGCTGAGATCAGGCAGACAAAGCCTGATAACAGGTGATAATTACATGGAGAATGCTAACAATAAAACCAATGATGACGATTCTCTCTCACCAGCATTTCCAGGTATTTTGGATTCTCTAGTTTAGCTTGAAAATCACTCCTCAGCTCTGCATCCAGTGACGGCTTTTGAACCAAATCTTGAAACAGATATTCCAGATCTCTTTCGTTGGGTTCCTCCTTCACTTTCATCTTCATCTCCTCCTTTTCTGTCTCCCTCTCCACCTTTGGCTCGATTTTTGTCACTTTCACTGGCTGCTGCTGTTGTTCCAGAGGATCATCCCCATCAAAGTAACTGAAAGACAAAGGGATTACCAGGACCAGCGTTATGGCATTTATGATCATGTATAAAAAAACACGTTTGTGACTGTTAGTACAGTTTATGTTTGCGACAGTCTGTATACACGCTTAAAAAAGATGGTTCTTCAAGGGTTCTTTAGTAAAGAAAAAGGTTTGCATAGAACAATGAAGACTCAAAGAAGCCTGTGCATGATTAAAGGGTTCTTTGTATGAGAAAAAGGTTCTTCAGATTGATGGAATATGTGCTGCAGCTGGTTCTATATAGAACCTCTTTGAAAAGCGTTCTATATAGCACCTGAAGGGGTTGTTTTTAATGTTAAAAGCTTGACATTGTAACAACAGAAGAACACTTTTTGGTGCTATATAGAACCCTTTTCAAAAAAGCTCTATATAGAGCCATCTACAGCTCACTCTTTCTCTTTCATGGCGCAAAGAACCATTTAATCATGCAAAGGGTTCTTTGAGTGTTTATGGTTCTATATAGAACCGTCTTCTTTCTTAAAGAAGCCTTGAAAAACATCTTTAAGAGTGTATTTCATGTAAATCCATAATTCCAATACTTGCTTTCTCCAACTACAATTTTACAGCTTCTTTATGGTAACGTCATTTGTGTGTTATCGGATATTTATACAACAGGTAGTTCCGACCACGCAAGCTGATTGGTTGAGAAGCGTTCTAACTGTGCTGTTATTTCGCCATAACATCACGTTGCTAAGCAACGACTTTGACAGCTGTAGGAGACGCTCAAACCATTTGAATGTTTTTACTTCTTACTTTGCCACAAACAGAAAATGGACACTTAAGATCACATTTGACCGACAGCCGATTTGGTCCGACTCTGAAGATGAGACGACACTAAATTCCCAAACTGTCATCACCACTGAGCAGCTTTTCAGTCGGCAGCTGTGACAGAAGAACAGCTAAACAACCTGGAATCAGCCAGAAATGAACCCAACACCATTCGCCAAACTAAACGGGCTGTAAGATGCTTTACAGACTGGCTGGAACAAAACAACATTAATACTGATCTGGCAAAAACTGACAAAACTGAGCTAAACTTGATATTGTGGCAGTTTTATGGCTCAGTCTGTACTTCAAAAGGCAAGACTTACAGCAGACTGTGCAGTGAGTGGGCGGAGCTCGTTACTCTGACGTAGCAACAAGCTGCTTGTTAAGGAACTATAATTTGGTGAAGGAACTGCGAACATTAAAACATATTAAACGTCATCGCAATAACACACTCCCTCTCGTGTTCTACTCCTGAAGAACGGGACATTTTTGTCTAACAACAAACACACTGAGAGGTCGAAGCTGCTTTCAAACACATCATTTTCACTGTAAATGTGTGTGTTTCTCTGCTCATATTGCTACCCGGTGTCGACCAGAGGAGGATGGGCTCCTCTCAGTGTTTCTTCCTCTTGCTCTTAGGAAGTTTCTCTTGCCACTATCACCACTGGCTTGCTCATGGGTGCATGGACCTGATTTTTTTTCTGTAAACCTGCTTTCTTTCACATCCTAATGAACAGTTATTTGAACACTGGGATCTGATCTTGGCTCCGCAGCAGTAGGCTCACCTGTGGCCGCTGGGCTCCTGCTTCATCTGCTGGTACGGAAAGGCAGAGGGGTGAGCTTCTTGGGGCGGCCCTCGCTGGACTGAATTCAGGAGCTGTGTGATGTGCTGCTCTCTGGATTCATCCATCTGGACTACAGCTCTCTGAAGATGAAGAGAAATACCTGTCAGCTTAATGCAATAAAGGTTCTCCTTCACTGGAAAAAAAAGTCAAGCACATGCATTCATATCATATCCAAAAGCGTTGGTAATGACTATGCTACCCTTTCGTTCACAGGTCTGCCTTTTAATTTCCCCAAAATATGCTGAATGAAGACCTGCAGCGACTGATAAGATTACTAACTACCATATTGAATTAAGGCTGACAATATTAAACAAACAACAGTCACAGCTTTATGTTTTCACCTACAGTATTGTGTTAAATGACCACACTGTTGATTAACACTACGGTACAACGTTAGTAAAACACTGAATGAGCACCAGCTCGTATAATCTCTATAGAAAAAGCACTGCCAACAGAATGGGATGCTCTGGAGAAGCTGCACATGAGTCTAGGGTCACCATGGCCAATGACAAGCATAGGCAAAAGCAATATAAAGCCACCCCCGGCACAGCAGAACTGCATTCTCTGGAGTGATGGAGCTCCATCCAATACCTTTGGGATGAGTTGGAGTGATTCAGAACTGACCATCCAACATCAGTACCTGACCTCACTAATGCTCTTGTTGCTCAATGCAAATCCTCACATACAGTCATGTGAAAAAAAATTAGGACGCCCCATCAAATATTCACTTGTTTATTAAGAAATGTTCACATATCCATGTCTAATCTTGTTTTTATTTATCTCTGGAAAAGAAAGTGATTTAACTGCAGGTAAACAACAAAAATTAACCCTGTTTTACTCATTAAACAAAAACTATTAACAAAAATGCGTATTCTAACTGAGGAAAAAGTTGGGACACCCAACCCCCTAATAGCTAGTGTTACCCCCTTTGGCTGAAATAACTTCAGTGAGACGTTTCTTGTAGCCATCTAAGAGTCTCTGACATCGGTCTGAGGAAAGTTTGCCCCACTAATCAGTGCAGAATTCTTTCAGCTGTGAGATGTTTGAGGGGTTTCTTGCATGTACAGCCCGTTTCAAGTCACCCCACAGCATCTCAATGGGATTAAGGTCTGGGCTTTGACTCGGCCGTTCCAGGACTGTTTCTTAGTTTTCAGCCAGTCCTTGGTGGATTTACTGGTATGTTTTGGGTCATTGTCATGTCGCAGGGTCCAGTTCTGCTTCAGCTATAATTTTTTTACAGATGGCCTCACATGATCCTCAAGCTCCCTCTGATACACGGTAGAATTCATAGTGGATTCTATGATGGTGAGCTGGCCAGGTCCTGCTGCAGCAAAGCATCCCCAAACCATGACACTTCCACCTCCATGTTTCACAGTTGGTATGAGGTTCTTTTCCTGGAATGCTGTATTTGGTTTACGCCAAACATGCCTTCTGTTATGTTGTCCAAATAATTCAATTTTAGACTCATCTGTCCAAAGAACATTATACCAGAAGTCCTGGTCTTTGTCTATGTTCTCTCTGGCAAACTTCATGTTGGCCTTCATGTTTCTCTTTGAGAACAAAGCTTTCCTCCTTGCACACCAGCCATGAAAGTCAAACTTGTGCAGTCTCTTTCTGATTGTAGAGGTATGCAATTTTACATCAACAGTAGCAAGAGCCTGCTATAAGTCCTGTGATGACATTTTAGGGTTTTCTGAGACTTCTTTTAGCATCTTCCTGTCTGCTCTCGGGGTGAACTTGAGTGGACGGCCAGACCTGGGCATGCTGGCAGTTGTTTCGAATGTCTTCCACTTGTAGACTATTTTCCGGACAGTGGGAACGGCTGATTTCAAACTCTTCTGAGATCTTTTTAAATCCCTTACTAGACTCATATGTTGCTACAGTCTTCTTTCTGATGGCCTCAGACAGCTCTATCGATCTCACCATGGTGTTCACTCTCACTTCAACAGTCAGCAGCACACCAAACTAAATGTCTGAGGTTTAAATAAGGCAAACCTCCTTCAAAATGCTGAGTAACACTGTTCTAATCATGTGCACCTGATGAGATACAACTGTGTGATTTTAGCCATTTTAAGTGGGAATAAATGGGGGTGTCCCAACATCCACGCACTTAAAAAAAGATGGTTCTTCAGAGGTTCTTTAATGAAAGGAATGGTTCTATTTAGAACAATGAGATCTACATAGAACTATTCACACTTATAGTTCTTTAGACTGATGGAGACTGTGTTCTATATGGTTCTATATAGCACAAAAAAGGGTTCTTCTGTTGTTACAAGCTTGACATAACAGTGGCAGAACCCTGTTGGCTGCTACATAGAACCACACATAAGACATTTTCCATCAATGTGAAGAACTGTTTCACCATGCAAAGAAACATGTAAGCATGAAACGGCTGGAAACAGAGCTCCTGGTTCCTTACTAAGGAACCCTTGAAGAACCAAACGCTTTAAGAATGTAGTGTAAAGCCTTCCCAGAAGAGTGGAGGCTGTTCCTGCAGGAAGGGGCAGGACTTCAGATGAAAGGCAGGTGTGTGGAGAGTTCTGAGTGCATTTTGCCACAGACTGATATTAACAACTCACCGATTTTCTCTCTGCCTCGTTTCTCTTAATGCCTCCCCATTTGGCGTACCAGAGTCCTATCTCCCGTCCTTTCAGGTGAGGCGGGTGTTTTCCCCGTCCTCCTCCTCCTCCTCCTCTTCCTCCTCTACCTCCACCTCGGCTATGTTCCTCCTGGTCCTCCCAGCTCGAGTTGCCCCAGCTTCCTCCGCGCTCCCACCGCGGCTCTCTGTCTCCTCGCCACCCTCCTCCTCCTCCTCTCCTCCTCCTCTCCGACCCTTTCTGTTACCACCGCCGTAGCTCATGGCGAAGGAAAGCCCCTCTAGACTGCTAGTCTGTGGAAATTTCAGGCTGTTTCAGGCATTAAAGTGCGCGGAGAACGTGCGTCGTCGTTGTTGTTGTTGTTGTTGTTGTTTTCTTGGCGAGACAGAGAAGAGAGAGAAGGAACGAGGAGCCTTTAATATATTGATATTTAAAGCCTCTAGTTTATTTCTTAAATCATAGAAACGTCCTAATGCGTGTCCCCATCACTCGTAAGGGCGCGAATGGCCGTGTCTGCTGGATTTTGCATCCAAAATCGTTTAAATATTCCTCCCAAAATGAAATCTGTCCTCTTCTTCGCACCGGTGAGCGACTCCGGCTGGTCGCACAAAGATGACGTCATGTGTTTCCAGCACTCGGGCGGCGGCTTATGACGCAGTTATGTACATACGGTTCGGGGTCTCGGGAGCAGAGAAGCTTTTTTTATTATTTAAACTTTATTGTCTAAAATTATTACAATATTTTATGTTTTTGCGGTTCGTTAACTGACATAATTATGTTTGTTCTACTGTATACTGAATTTTTACGAATGTAATGATAATAATAATAATAATAATAATAATAATAACGATAATATTAATAATAAAAGGAGCAGAAAAGCAGCGGGAGATTAGAACTAGGCAATGTGGTGAAAACTTGCTTGATATTGAAATATAATGATACCTCACGGCTTCACGATGCGCTGTATGCCACGATGTTTATTTCTTCTGACATCTGATCAGTTGGAACAGAGGAAAAAGAATCAGAGTGCCACAATAAACAAATGAAATAAAAACAATGAATACAATTATTTCTATTCATCATTTCACATCCTTGTTCCAATCAAACAAGAGTAATTATGCTTTTTTTAAGTACTGACGATGTCTACGATATACTGAAAGACACGGTGGTTAAAGAAATAAAGTTAAAGACATGCGTTCCCTCGCAAAAAAATGTGTTCCCTCGCAAATGTTTTGCATTCCTTCGCAAAAAAGTGCGTTCAGCAAGCAAACGTAGGACCAGAGGAGCCCAACGACATTGTCTACATCAGAGCTTTGCTTTTAGCATAGCTAACGTTAAAAGCTGTTTTCCCAGTTTCGTCTGTGCTGAGTTTATTCAGCAGTTGTTCTCTGCAGTCTCTGTAAATGTAGTTTTTACTGTACGAGGACCCTCAACCTCAGTTTCAGTTTGAGTCACTAACAGCAGAATCATGTTTGATTTTGAGAAGCGATACTGTGTCTTCATATTTCAATACAAGATTAACGTAGAATTCAATGAGCTGCTTCATGTCTGAGCTTAAGCGAAGCACAGCTTTTGCAAGTGAATGCAAACCATTGCATCGTAATGCAAAACATTAGTGAGGGAACGCAATTTATTTGCAAGGGAATGCAAAACATTGTGAAATAATTTATGAGAGTAACGGTACATATTGTCATATTGGCCAGCCCTAGGAGTAACTGAGCTAAATTACTGTACTTAAGCATTATTTTATAAAATTTGCACTTTATTTGAGTTTTATTGATAGTGAATAACTTTACTTATGTATATATATATATATATATATATATATATATATATATATATATATATATATATATATGTGTGTGTGTGTATTACATCTTCAATATTTGTCTTAATTTAAAGGCTGAAATAATACATGTAAAGCTGTAAATGTCAGCTGTCAAATATAAGTGTTTAAATGTAAACTGAGGGTCTGACACTTCCCTGCAGAGACTGTTCACAGCTTAAACGGAAATTCCACTATTTTTCCCAAATGTCTGAATAATTCCATCCTTGAGATGTAAACACGGTCATTCAGAGTGGTTTGATATGAAGTGGCTTATTGTAGAGAATGGCCAAGCTGGCTACTTTGCTTTTAGCTCCAGCACTAAACTAAAGCAGAAAAATTTGGACTCTAGACATGTCTTGGTTGTCTGATCAAAATGGAATTACTACATTTAACTACATGAACTTCCCACAAATGGTTTACACTGGAATTAATCTTTTATCTAAATTGAATTCATTTGATCTTAAAGATACATCCTTTTTTTTCACTTCCTGCATAGTTTACCCTTTGAGATATACACACAGTGATCCACAGTGTTTTCCACAGAACCAGAGGTCACGATATCTACAACACAAATATAGACATATAATTTACTATTCAAAACCACCAGTGAACCAACACGTCTCCTGAGTTATTATACGGTATGTTAATGATGGTATAATAGTGCTAAATCTGAAAAAATAAGTTTTCTGTAGCGACTATTTTGCCTTAAAACAGGGGTCGGTAACCCAAATGTTCAGAAGACCCATTTTGTCCTTTTCGCAAAAATCTATCCACCTTGTAAGCCACAACATTTTATGTCTGTTTTACCGTGTTGGCTGTAAAAATGTCTCAGTGTGTGCTGATGTACTATTATAGGCTAAAAGATCTAATATAAACATAAACACAGACTTACTTTGCTCTGCTTTAAGCTTTAGCTCAGCTGTAGCCGCTTTTCTCGCATCTCTGGCAGGAAACTTGTTCAAAAGTTCCATTCTTGTATGTCTCTCAACATTCGATTTGTTATGAGGCTGAAGTTGCTTCTCATTCACCAGCTTCTTGTTTGAATTTTCCCTTTCCACTTTAAATGGTGCCTGAGGTGCCAGAATGTAACTGCTGCACCATTTAAGGTGGAACGGAAGAATTCAAACAAGAGTTTCTCGTTGCAGATTAAAGGTATCAGGAAACCAGCTGGAGTGATTATAAATTCAAATAAGTCTATTAGTCTCCAAAGTATTGATGATTCATCTTAAATCTCTCCCTTTGCCTTTTCTTTACCTACTAGTTAGGCAAGACTGTTATCTGCATTGCTATGGTGACCAGAAGTCTGCTCGCCAACCTTCAGGGTTAAAGGGGGAATTAGCAGTTCTACATTAACTCCAGTGTTTAAGACCATTTATTGTTAAACTGTGTTGAACGACCAGCAGAGCTTTATTTTACTGTAAAGGAGGATTATTTTATTTTTACCTACAAATCTAATTCAGCTGTGGAGCCGCAACAGGGCAGGAAAAGAGCCGCATGCAGCTCCGGAGCCATATGTTACCGACCCCTGCCTTACACCACCACGCATGTACCCCTTCTCCATGAATAGATTTTAAAGAGTACAATTTCACAAAACAATGTCTCAGTCATCAGGCAACATATTAATAACCTTTTCATGTAATAACTTTCCTTCATATAGCTTTTAGCAGATGTCTGGTTCCTATCACCATCACTGTGAACAATTCAGACTTGGTATGTTTCCCTAGAATGGAGCATTTCACATCAAACCACTCTGAATGACTTTGTTTACATCTTAATGATTAATTTCTGCAGAAAAATTGAAAAATATGTGTATATATCACTTTAATACATTAGCTACACAGGCTAGGCTTCTGGAAATAAGCGATTTTTATCATTTCAAGATCGAAGGTGAGGACTCACTTTGCTTTGGACGCCAACTTTGTTCTGCGCTCTAGACGGCTACACACATATCTAATAGAACAATGATAACCTTCTCATCCGAAGGCCGGAGGCTGACCTTCCCCATGTAAGTGTCTCTCAGACGGAAAGCCTCAGCTAAGAGCAGAGAGGAAGTCTTGCGTATGATCATCATCGCTGCACTCTGAGTTACAGTAATGGCTCAATAGCTGACTTAAATCAAGTTACAGCTGACCTGTTACATACAGCTGAGCATTAGAGGCTACAGTGATACACTTAATGTACCCATTTGTTATTGGATTACAACCTAGAACACTTTAATTGTCTCTGTCGCGTATCATAAAGCAGGATTTGCTCTGTGAGCACCACTGTGTCATATAATGTGATGTAAAAGTTTCCATCTCAGGAAACAAAAGCCCATTTCCAGGCGTTTTGCAGAGACACAGAGAGAAAACTAATGAGGCTTCCGGCGATAAAACGGCAGCGACTGTCACACTGAATCCTCTTAATATTCGATTTACATTAAACAAAAACGCAGCCGCTAATTATCGTCTCTGTGCGTTTCAGCCCCACAAGAGGAATATAGCTGATATAGCACAGCTCTCTCTCCCATCTCACTCTCTCTCTCTGACTCTCTCTCTCTCTCTCCCTCTCATCTGTCTCTCTCTGTTTCTGTCTCTCTGTCTCTCTCTCATCTCTGTCTGTCTCTTTTTTCTCTTTGTGTCTCTCTGTCACTATCCATTCTTCCTCTCTCAATCCAATTCAATTCAGTGCAGTAAGCTTTATTGGCATGACCATATTCATGTACAGTATTGCCGAGGCATCATCAAAAGGAACAAAAAGAATTAACATTTAGAACATAGAGCTTTAGAACGAGAGCATAAGAACTCTTAATTTCATTTGATATAAGAATAATTATGACAAGAATCACATAAAATAATAGCAAAAATAGTGCTTTGGAATTGAGTTGTAAAGAAAAATTAAGAGGAAAAATAATAAATAATAAAAAACAAGGCAGTTTTAGATATCTTGCGTGTGTGTGTGTGTGTTTGTGTCTGTATTTCTGTGTGTGTGTGTTTGGGTGGGTCACTCACTGTCCCTCATATTGTGGCAGGCAGATACATATCGTGCTGCTAAGGCGCTGCTCTCTCTCCTCTCTCCTAGCAGGATGGGCACCTTCTCATTATTACTGTGGCGGCTAAATTGGGGGTGAATCTTCTCAAGTTTATTAAAGTATATTTTCCTTAGTGTTTGTATTTGTTACACTCAGTGAGGAAGTGCAGCTCTGTCTCTACAGTGTTACTGTCACACTGGCAGAGTCTCAGCTCTTTAGGCAGCCAGGATCTCTTATAGCGGCCGGTCTGCACGGCCAGGCTGTGGTCACTGAGTCTGTACTTTGTCAGCGTGGTTCTGTGTTTAGTGTCAGTCACTGTGTTCAGGTACTCCGCTACAGTGTACTGACGGTTTAGGGCCAGATAGCATTGTGCTCTGTGTGTGTCTGTGTTCCAGTGGGTGATGT